AGCTTCTCCCCATAGCACATGAGGTAGCTTTTTCTCTTTCAGCATGCTTCTGGTCATATCAAGCAGAGTTCTGTTTCTTCTTTCAGCAAGACCGTTGTGCTGAGGAGTATATGGAGCAGTAACCTCATGTTCTATTCCACTTTCCTCACAAAACTTCTGAAACACTGTAGAGTTATACTCACCTCCACCATCTGTTCTCAGAATTTTTAACTTCTGACCACTCTGCTTCTCAGCCTTCACCTTGAATTTCTGGAACTCAGTAAGCACTTCATGCTTGAACTTGATAAGTGTTACCCATGTCATTCTTGTGAACTCATCCACAAAAGACACAAAGTAATTGTTTCCTCCAAGTGAAGGTACTGGAAATGGTCCACACACATCTGAATGTACTACTCCCAGAGCATGTTTCGCTCTGGGGGCTACTTCTGATGTAAATGGCAATCTAGGTTGCTTACCTTTCATGCATATCTCACATGACTTCTCAGGCTTCACAATTTTCGAAATACCACGTACGAGCTTCTTAGAACATAGATGCCCTAAGCTTCTATAGTTTAAGTGCCCTAACCTCTTATGCCATAGCTTACTGTTACTTTCAGCACCTTCTGCACTAAGGCACGTTGCTTCAGCTGTTTCTACATTCACCTTGAATGTTCTGTTTCCTCCTTGTTCAGACTTCATAATTAACTTCTGATTGGAATCATACAACGTCAGAAGATTGTTTTTCATAACAACTGAAAAACCTTTCTCAATCAGCTGACCTACGCTCATCAGATTGCTTCTAATACCAGGAACATACCAGACGTCTTTGATCAGAATGTCTTTCCCATTCTTCACTCTAATTCTGACATCTCCCATACCTTCTGCATTAAGATACTTATCGTCAGCACATCTGATCTTTGTACTCCTTCTGGAGTCAAAGTCTATCAGCCATTGTTTGTTTCCAGTTAAATGATTTGAGCAGCCAGTGTCCATATACCACCAATCTTTTGAGCATTTTCCATCAGAGTCAGAGGCCATTAGCAGTACAGGTTCATCATCAGAGTTTCTTTTAGCCATATATGCTTCTTCTGATTTCCTATCCCTGTTTGACCTACAATCTCTGGCAAAATGGCCCAATTGTTTACAGGAGTAACATTAAACCTTCCTTTTGTCATACCTCTCTTTTCCTTTATGATACTTCTTATCATCAGAAGTTGAGGCTTCTGACTTCTGGAATCTATCACCACGTCTATTCTGCTTCTGGCCTTTCTTGACAAAAGAAGCCTTTAGAGCTTGCTCAGCTTCTCTCTCAGAAGTTCTCTCAGACAGACGTAACTCCTGTGCTTCTAAGCTACTTTGTAATTCTTCTATTTTCATGGTTTCCAGATTTTTAGAATGTTCAATAGAAACAACAATGTAATCAAACTTAGGAGTGAGCGACCTCAGAATCTTCTCTATGATTACCTGTTCAGTCAGAGTTTCTCCACACGCCTTCATCTCGTTAGTGATCAGAATCACTCTGGAGATATATTCAGAAACTTTCTCACTGCTCTTCATGTTCAGGTTCTCATATTGCTTTCGTAGGGATTGAAGCTTCACCTTCTTTACTGATGCGTCACCACCGTAACATCTCGTCAGTAAATCCCACGCCCCTTTAGACATTGTTGAATCAGCAATCTTCTTGAACACATTTTCATCCACACACTGATGGATATAGAACAGAGCTTTCTGCTCCCTCTTTCTCATCAACCTCTCAGCAGTTCTCTGTTCTTCAGTTGCATCTGCTGCAATTGGTACATAACCATGTGTAACCAGATCCAGAACATCTTGTGCACCGAATAGTACACGCATTTGTATCATCCATCTGTTCCAGTTTTTGCCATTAAAAACTGGAAGTTTAGTGTTCAAACTACTGTCTCCACTCATTTTAAACCTTGCACGGATTTTCAGATCTTAAACACACTGTTTCCCAACCCACATAATCAAAATTTTGTTCAGAATTTTGTTCAAGTTTTCAACAGAAAATCAAAGAACAAAACTCAAACACACAGCTCACAACCACTCGTGTTTCCCAGGAAAAACAGAACCAAAAGCTCTAGATACCAATTTGTTGGTGCAAGGTAATGGAAGGAGAGATAAAGAATGAACAATGAATGATAACAAATGGGACTACTTCTTAATATTCAAATAGAGGAATGAATTTGGGATACAATATTGATAACCTAGATAGCATATTTATACTAGAAATTGAAAATGTCAAAAGGCCCTAAGAAAGAGTAAGTATTGGGAATTGTGCGCATTAAATAAATTACATTTCCAATAAGATTTAGACTTCATTCTTAAGGGATTTTGGTTTAATCTTTTTTTTTTTTGGTTTTAATATATCTTCTTCTTTGTTTAAAAAAAATTCACTCGCAACTTTTATAATTCATTTTATTAGTCAATTGATTTGATTGTACATTGATTTGATTGTTCCAATATAGCTTCTGTATGTAACAAGTAAATAGATAAGTAAAATTAAGATTAAAACAAAACCAAAAAGCCATGCATTGTAGATTTCTCTCACAGCTGCAATAATATTTTAAAAGGTTTTTTCTCTAAATTGCTCGAGTTTAATGGGCATAGTAAAATAGTTTTACAAATATGAAATCATCTGTCTACTGCATCATACAAATAATTTTAAAAAATATGTGTAATTTGACATAATATACCTTATTCATTAAAGATAAATATTTCTTCAATTTCTTTTTAAGCGTCATTTAAACATAAAATTCTTTAATCAAAATAATAGATTGTTGATTTTTCCTATTATACTCTTATTTAATTTCTCTTTTTAAATAAATTCAATCATACACTCTCTTTTTCCAATAACTAATTGAGAAAATAATTAATTTTATAGAAAATGTGAAGTGGAGTTATTAAGAAAGTAAGTGTATAATTGATAAATTATAAAATATAAAAACGACACTTAAATAAAAACAAAAATATTCTTCAAAACAATACTTAGAAAAAAATGGAGGGGGTATAAAATTATTTTAAATTGAGGTACATCTTCTATTTTTTCGAATTGGTTTAAATGGTGCAACTCCTATTTTCTCAAATTAGAGAATCATAAAGCATTAAACTCTGTTGCACAATACAGTTCAAAAAACATTCAACCAAAGGGATTGAAATCAACATGATGGTAAAGTATGTGTGGATTTGGAACTTTTTCACAAATAAAGAGTGTTCTCTAATGGAAGTATTATGCCAAACCTTAATAAAAACACTTTGAAAGAGGTTTATCACTATACAATGATGTGATTTGAAATAAACTACACTTCTAAAAGTAACATCCAATTATCCATTTCAGTATGCTTCACAATCAGAGAGTATAACAGAATATCTTATTTGCAAGGAAAATGGAAATTTAACATCCAATTATCCATTAAAGCGAAAGGAAGCACAACACACACAAGACAGCACAAATGGAGAAATCAACATGATGGTAACCCACAATTGATGGTGGAAATCAAGGAGAAACATGTTGATTTCAAAAATATGGATAAACTGCTAGCACAACATGATTCAACAACACAAGACAGAACAAAGGAACGTTTCTCAATTGCTGTCAATAGAAGTAAGCAAAGTAACTAGGACACATCAACAACGGTTGGAAAGCATTAACAATCAGGTCACACATATACAAAGACACATATTGTTACAAATGGCTGATATTGGCACTACAACTCAACATCAGAAATCAACTTCGGAATCGCAGGACAACAGATAATTCAAGAAGCACAACAGACAGATCAGGTAGCACAATAAAAACATCACCTTCAGCCTAATGCAAGGAAGGCTCAACACCTAATATCTCATCTAGAACAGGACAGTCTAGAGCATTAGAGGACATATATCAAGTAGCAAAAGCGAAATTAAACTACAGATATGAGTTCATCTATAAAGCACTCAAGAAGCCGCATCATCAATACACAGATATGAGTTCAACATACCAAGGAAAATAGGAGTTCATCTATAAAGCACTCAAGCAGCTGCATCATCAATACACAATGCAGCAACTGGAAGTTACTTTGAGGCAGCATCATCGAGAGAACCACATGAAGGACATTCAAGGTAAGAGGAAGGATGAAACTTTCATGCATCAATATGATCAACATACCAAGGAAAATAATTCAGACAAATGCACTTAACCAAATAGATCAGGTCAACATAAATCAATAACTTGATTGCTTTCAGGTTCAGAAGCAAAATACAATACACATGTCAGATGAAACAGGGCAATACACAGAATCCTGTCAATCACAATCAGGGAATGGAGCCAACAACTGATTTCCAGCAGGTACAATCTTCTAGAAAAGAAGAAATAAATGAATAATAGAATAGTTTGACAAATCTAAACCAGCACAAACTTTTTCAGCTCTTTAGTTTGACCGCAGAACTTAGGAAGTTCCATAGCCTCATAACCACAACATCAATTCAAAAATAATTTTCAAAAGATTCACTAAAATGAGACACTAAAACCAAATCTAAACCACAACCAGAATGAATACTAGGAATCAATACAAGAATGTGACACTAAAAGCAAATCTAAACCACAACCACTTGTATACTCACCTCATTTAGCTTCCAAAAAAAACAGAGAATAATACAGAGTATAACCCTTCAATACCTCATAAATTCTAATATCACCCATGTTCATCATATTTAGCAAATATCCAAAATAGCAAACCCTCCAAACTATAGTCTTCTAAGAAAAAAAGAGAGAATCAGGATGAATACTAAAATGAGACACTCTCAATGCACATTTTATAGTTATTGAACTCTGAACAAACAAAACAATGTATCATATAGCAAGAGACATGTTTGTCTATCTTGTTATTATTTCAAACCATAACAACAATCAAAATCTAAAACAGCCTAAAATTTTCAATTTTTCACACACCCAACAAACAAATGAATAAGCAGAACATAGTCAGTTCCACACAACTAAACACAACATAGCAAACTCCAAACTTATCCTACCCTTGTTTACCATCATCATTATCATTATCATCATTATCATCATCATCAACAACGTCATGATCATCATCATCATCATCATCACCACCTTCAGCAAAATCTAAAACCTGACAAACATTCCCTTCTTCCTCCACCACCATTCTACTATCCTCCTCATCATCACAGAAATAAGACTTTTTCCCATTCATTGCAGCAACTCTTTTAGCAGCACCAGAATCTCTAGGACTCTCATCGATACACCTCAACGTCGAAATCCTCGGTAACACCCCAAAACCACTCACATCCACTTCCTCAATCGGAATCTCCCACCTCTTCTTAACCCTAACCTCACTCCCAAAACCCTTATTATTCTCCGAAAACGTTCTTTTCTTCGCATCACCAACACCACCAGAATTATACCTACTAGCAACAACCCTCCCTTGTTTCACCACCTTCTTCACTGATTTCTCTCCTTCAAACAACTTCCTCGGTTGAACAATCTCTTCCTCTTTCTTCTTCATTTCACGCAGCTTAACCGATCCAACAGCAACTGAATTCGCTTTACATATCGTCTTCCTCCTCGATTCCTCCGTAATTTCCTGCGGCTTCCAGTAACAAGATTTCCTCCGATTCACCGTCGCCGGAGTACTCACCGGTGCTGAAACTTTACCAGCAATCTCCCCCGGACCTAAACTCATCCCTCTCCTCCAATTCATCCTCGGCCTCGGAGTATCCTCTTTCGAAACCCTCGGTGTACCTAAAACGACACCGTTTCCCTTCGGCGTCGCCTCTTTGAAAACGACGCCGTTTCCGTTTCCGTTTCCGTTTCCGTTTCCGTTTCGTTTCACAGCATTATCATCATCTTTGAAAACGACACTGTTTTTCTTCGGTTCCATGAACTTCGCAGCTATAACCCTTCCAGTGCCAATTCCACTAACGCGCTTTTCCGACGCGATTTTTTCAAGACGAAGCGATTCAAGCTTTGTTGTTAATCGCTTAATTTCGAATTCGACTTCAGCGATTTCATCGTCTATAGCTTTTTTCTTTTTCGAAGTGGCGATATTGGTATTGAGTGCGGTAGGGTTTACATTCTCTTTGGTGCAATCCGAGGAAGAAGACCAAGAAGTCTTCATCTTCGTCGTGAAATCGTCGCCGTAGAATGCTGCATTGTTCCAGAATTTAACTTCGTTGTTCATGATTAAGTGCTTTTTTTAAGTGCTTTTTGGGGAAAGGTTTTGAGATTTTGAGATTTTGAGAAGCTGATATTTTTTTGGGTATGAAGAAGTGAAGAAGGAAGAAAGGATTTGAATTTGGGATTTTGTGACCGTTGGGGTTTGGAGTGGGGAGAAGAGAGTAACGCTTGTGATGACCGTTGGATGGGAAACGGCTCCACATACACGCTCCGATGCGATATAAAGTTTTTAATTTCATATACTATGTTTATTTTTTATTTAATTTCTTAATGTATTTAATGAAATGAAAAATTACGAGAGGATGATCACTATGAAATGCTATTCTTAATAGTGTCTCTCACCCTTTACTAATACAGTGAATAATAAAATATTATAATAATAAAAATATATTTAAAAAAAATATATTTTTTAAAATAAGAAAGTACATATATAAAGTTATGTGATTAATTAATTTTATTAATTAACATTCTAAATATTATTAATCAACATCATAATTATTAAAAATTTAGTTATTTATTAATCAATTTTATAATTTAATTAATTAATATTTTATATTGTATTAATTAACTTTATTTTTTACTGTTAAAAATTATTTTTAATATCTGAACATTTAATAATCAACACCATCACTTTATTAACTAATTTTTTATATTTTATTAAATAATTTTAATTTATTATTAAAAATCAATATTCATGTATTATTTAGAGACATTATTTATGTACTCTTCACGTTAATATTCATATACTATTCATAATATTATTTATAAATATTTTTTTATTTTAAAAAATATTATTTATCGTATAAATATAGTAAACGGTGTAAGTGTTTAATATAAAAATTGATGTAAATATAACATTTCTGATCCATTATTGTCTTAGCCCCATACCATATGATATTTTTTAATATGTATTGTGAATGCCTTTTTTAATGAAAAAAGTTGTCTCAGTTTAAAAAGGGATTTGAATATGTTCAATTATTCAATTTAGTGACACATTTTAGTGTTTAGTTTAGTGTTATTGATTTCTATTGTATGTGATGTTCGATAACATCTCCTATCTACTCTACTATCGAACCATTATTAAAGAATTGACTAAATTACTAATTATGTCATTTTCAATAAAAAAAATTATACTATAAATTAGATACAATAGTAACTAATAAATTAACCATCCATCTTTAATTTAGACTAATAACAAAAAGACAAATGGCGCATTATGTCAAAAAAACTAACACATGTCACTTTATCATTAGCCATATTTCACATTTCAAAATCATTTCCCTTTTTCTTCTTATTCCTCAATACTTCAAACTTTCGTTCTCTCTCGTCTTCTCTTCTCTCTCTTTTTCTCTGAAACCCTAAAACTGGCGCCGCAACCTACTTCTCGTCTTCAAACTTTTCTTGCTTCACCGATTAGGTAAGAACAACCATTGTTTCTCCTTCTCATGCCCATTTACATTCCACACCTCTCTCACCCTCTCTCTTGTTTCCTCTATTCTCTCTCTTTTCCTGCATAAACCCTAAAATTTACGCCGCCACCTTTCTCTTTGTTTTTAGATTTGTGTGTTTGCTATCTTATTTAGTATGTCAATGACTTATTTTAGTTGTTGAAAGGAAAAAGATGACTTGAGCTTAGTTGCGAAAGCTAGCTGATGGTCACAGTCTATGATGTGGAAGCTCAGACCTTTGGCTGTTACAAAGGTGTTCACCATATTTCATCTTATTGCAAAGGTATTTTACTAATAAATTTTAAGTTTAATTTATAATTGTGTTGTTTGAAATATCAATGTTGTATCTACTTATAGGAGTTTAATAGGCCTTTTAAAAATATTTATTGCAAAAATAGGAATTTTAGAAAATAGATGTTAGTTTTTGTTATTTAAATTTGTTACTCTATGTTTGTGTTGATGTTAGATGTTAAGTTTAGAGTAAAAGTTTGCTACTGATTTTCTTAGTTACAAATGTTTACAGGTTGCAATTCTTTTGTCGTAATGAACAATATGGCAGGTAACTCTTAAATTTGTTTTCCATTCAAAATTGTGATTTGGATATTGTTTACCGTGAAATTTGGTAAAAAAATCCACTGGTCTTCCAAATTAAAGAAAAAATTGATGACTTGCAGGATCGACCAGATTGATCCTAACGACATGTGTTCTTATTCAAACTTTTGTTCTTGAAAACAACGAATACTTTCGACAGCATTCGTGATCTTTTAAATAATATTGATTTTGATTGTTACTTCGAAGGTTGTAATATAACATTTTAAAGAAAGGACTGGTATGTAAAAGACTTTCGATTTAAACTTGAAAGGAATATATAAAACTTCAATTGAAAATGAATGATAATAAACATAAAATTGGTGCATTATACGTACATTCTCACAACTTGTTTCTCGAACACTTGTACTTTAAGTAATTTAGAGTAATTTATACAAAGATGTGAACGCACTGAATCCTAACACTAAGATCCTAATTTATACTATTTCGACCATAACGGTCAACTACTAAAATAACGCCACATTCATTTTTGCATGTTCTTAGAATCTCTTGAGGCCTCCACGCGTCTCTTCAGATAAGATCAAACTTTCAAATTTGAAAACCCTTTTGTCTTTGAAGCGCAAAACATTATAGACGTGATGGTCGAAGTGTCAATTATGATAATACTTCGAATACATTAAGTTATAATGGTTCACAAACGAACCTTTCGCCAATACTTAGCGAAATGAAATTCTTACTAACTTTTCTTCATCGAAATCTTCATAAGACCTCCTTCATGCTTCCTTACGAACTAAATTTCTTTCAGGATGTATCATTTCATCTAAACATTCGCATAGTCGAAATTCTCAGTTAACAAATTGCCCCCCAAAAATGTGTATTTCGATATACTTGGAGAAATATACATGTTTGCAAGATATCTATATTTTGACACACAAAACATACTTCATAATAAATATTTATTGTTACGTCAGAAACAATCATGGTTCTCTTTTTCCAAAACGTCTAACCAAGACATGCGTGATTCAGTTTCATCATTGCTACTAAAAGTAGGTTCCCATTATGGCTTTTCAACAAGTAACCTTCTTCAATAACTTATCAAATTCCACCATGTATCCCACTAACTCCAGAATTTAAAAAATATAAACAGAATTGATTCCAACAATAAATATCTTCTTCTTCAAAACACTTTTCCATCTTCTTGACTTCTGATTTTCAGAAAACTTATGCAACTTTCAGTATTCTTTCTCAAAAAACTTCAACAATCTAAACTCTCAATAATGGAACCAACTAAGAAAAGTAGAAAATTCGACAAGAATGTGAAGAATATGGAAGCAAAGAACATCAATGATGCTGCATTTCAACCAATTCATCATATCACCAAACTGCTGCTTATTAGAAATCAAGAACGTGTTCCAACACCTCATGTTTCTGTAGAACAACAAGCTATTTATGTTTCCCAGGTAATTATCCTTTTCACCCTTGCTGATAAAACCATAGGGTATATGGTTCCTATGTTATCCTCTAGATGTTTAGAACAAATTAAGGAAATTTTCCCAGTTTATTATGATACTAAACCCATCATTAATAATGTTGGACCTACTAAAAAGAAGGATAACAATCATGATAAAAATCTAGCAGAATCGTTTGTAGAAAAATTCAAAAAGAATCTCCCTTAGTTCCTATAACTGAAAACAAACCCTTTCAATCTGATTACGTGACTGAGAATTTTATACCTTTTAGGTCTTGCCCTGTAGCTGATAAATAATATCTTGCTTGGCTAGCCAAAGTCGAAAAGAAAAAATCCCAAGCCTAGAAAGACTTAGGCATTTTCGACTTGATTCAAATATCGAAAATAGATTTTAGTTACTGCCAACCTATGATGATGGCCTCATTATATTTTTGGGATAGTACTTATAACTGCTTCCATCTCCCTTGTGGGATGATAACTCCCACTTTCTTCGACGTGGCTGCCATCACTGGACTTCCACCAACTAGAGAAACTTCCGACCCTTACCAACAAGAAGATAATACCATTGACTTCAAAGTCGAAAATGCCACCTTCACCAAATACATAAGTCTTTACCATGTTCAAGGAGACGAAGTATCTGATGTCGAGCATATATTATTTCTTGCTCTATAGTTATCCATGTGTATCTTTTGCTGCAAATCTCTACAAGTTTCCAAAAGATTTCTCACCTTAGCGAACAAACTTCATTCTGGTCGAAGAGTATGCCTTAGCGAGTTAAGTTTAACTGGATTATATGAAAGCCTTGGATCTTCCACTTCCAAACTCAAAGGATAAAAGGCAAGCATGAAATTACTGCTAGTTGGCCCATATTGACTTCTCCAATTTTGTCTCAATGCAACGTTTGAACCATCTCTCACTACTTCTGGAACATTGGACGACAAAGATCCTGAAATTCAGAATTGAACCATTGAAGGAACACGACTACTTCAACTAACTCATGAAGATGATGCAAAAAAATTTGGGGAGTGTTTCACCAAGTATGTCATGATGTTTTCTAAACTTCATTCCTTCAGCTCTTTGATGGCTCCTTTCGCTAATAGGTCTGATGGCCCTGAGTGGTTCACCAAATCCTTCTCTAACATTTCACCTGAAGATACATATATTGTAGACATTTGGAAGGCTTTTTTACTCTCTGGGATGATTGTTTCGAGGATCATGCCTGTGAAAAGCAACACTTTCTTGCTTGCCTATCAACCAAATTTTGTGTCTCGATAATTTGGGCTTTGTCAACTGATCCCTGAACCAATATTTGGAAGGAAACGTGAACTTTGCACAGCAGGAATAAAATTCTTTTTCCCAGACTTGGAAAAACATATGGCCTATCATACTAACTTTGAAGAATTTAATCTCATTCCCTTTCAACCATCCTTATATTGCTTAAAGGGTTTTGACTTTTGGTGGAAAGATTTTTACTTAATGAACATGTTCGACACTACTTTTATCAGCCAGCATTTGAAAAAATCTTTTGCATGTATGCAA